AAAACTTCAAACTTCCTATTTCAATTAATAATCTTAATTATTGCATTTTTAAAATAAATATTTGTATACTCAACATCCTTGCGGAAAATAAATTTTTAAATAAAATTTCATTTCAACGGAGTTAAATAATTATATCTAATAATCCACATTTTGAATACATCCACCACTGATTGACAGAGATATCAAATTAATCAGACTCCGCGACATCTCATAAGACACGAAGGCGGGCTGCCATGAAGAAGGCGCCGGCTGATTATCATGCCCCTTGCCTAGAAGGAGCAACGTAAGGCCACCCGTAATATGTCTGACGTATGCGCGCGAGTTAAATTAAAGTTTGTCGGCAGCCGAGGAAACAGCCGCGGCGCCTCATTTCAAAGCTGTGCGTTAACTGAAAGCCCAAAGTAATCTCACTTACCGATCCCATCGCGGCTCGTGCCGGCGCCTTTAACCACCGTCCACGGCGGCGCGGAAAACGTTATCCGCGATTTTTTTCCCCCCGTAACAAAGGGCAATTCCGTTTCGCAATTAATTGCCGCAGTGCGCGCGCGCGCGCGCGCATCCGGTTCAAACTGCCCGTCTTCCACTCCTGCGTTTAACGTCGCTGATCGTATCTTATTTTATACGTGTAAGCGAAATTTACTCGGAGTGCATCCTGATTATATTTCCTCCGGCAAACATAGCTCGTAAGCACTATAAACGGCAACGTGCGATTCCCATTTTACAATGTATATTCTGATTCCATTTTTGTATATGATAGAACATCTTGATAAATTGAGAAGACAGATCCAAATTAAGAGAGAAACTCTTGAAATAATTTATGAATAAATGAATAACAAACGAAAATCACGCTCAGATATTCTCGAATTTAATATACTTATATATATATCAAGTAATTTTCATCCCCCAAAAGTGTCCAAATTTAATCTCGAATTTCATCTGCGATTAAACCACGACGTTTTATCGCCGGGAAATTTTACGCCAAAATCAAATAGTACGATTTTTGAACTTAATTTTTGTCAAAAATTAAAAATTTGTCAAGCTACAATTTTTTTTATGATGGCTTTCCAAACTTTATTAGGTTCGCCGATAAACCTTTCGTAAGCCGTGCCGCGTAATGTGCACTGTTTCGTAAGCTTATGACATTATAGGACCACTAATCAGAATTTATATTCCGGAAACACGAAACTTGCATTCCCGACCGATGCAATTATTCCTACGTCCGATGTGGAAAACATATGTAATTTTCCGGTGAGTTTCTCACTATTATTGTCACGCCCGGGACTAATTTTATACGCTGTCGACGAACCGTTGTCAGAGTATCAGACAGCCTGATATCCGAGATGCTACTTAGACATTCACTACTCAAATATTCCCGAGGTTTCTGCACGACTGGGTCAGATGACTGGCTCTCACATTTAACACACGCACGCATCTCGAAATACAAAACGTGTCGTACATTGCCGTCCACTAATGGAGTTCCTGATGATGTGGCGCATTTCTATGAAATGTTTATGTTTTATATCATGTACGTTTACAAAATTTAATGAATTATTTTGCGAAGCGAACTAATTGTGTTCGTGGACATTAATGTATTCCGTAATTGCATGAAATTAATATCGTATTGAGCTTCTAGTATCTTCATTTAAATAAGTGTTTTTATTGTCACAGTAAAACAATTTAAAAAATTGAAACCGTAAAAGAAATAGGGTTGCGCAAGACTCAAGACAAGACAATATTTGTGAAAATATTAATATTGGTATTTAAAATTTTCGGAAACTTAAATCTTGTATTGATCTTGAGTGAATCTTACAAGCAAATATCTCGTCTTGTATTGTCTTGTCTCAATTTTATTAACAATTTTTATCTAATACTAAACAATTAAAATAATATTTGATATTATCTTTATAATATATAATAATTTCAGATAATTATCACTATTTGTCATTTGTTTACTTTTCAAAACACTATATATATATATTGTACATATAACTAAATAATCGTCGAATATTCTATATTGTTTATTTTGTTTATTGTATTAATTATCTCTAAATTTGTTAATAAATATTGTTTTGGTATTTAAAATTTTCGGAAACTTAAAATTTGTGTTGGTCTTGAGTGAATCTTGGTAGCAAAATCTCGTCTTGTATTGTCTTGTCCCAATTTTATTAATAATTTTTATCTAATACTAAACAATTAAAATAATATTTAACATAATCTTTATAATATATAATAATTTCAGATAATTATCACTATTTGTCATTCGTTTACTTTTCAAAACACTATATATATATTGTATATATAACTAAATAATCGTCGAATATTCTATATTGTTTATTTTGTTTATTGTATTAATTATCTCTAAATGGAACGGAATAAATGTTCTTCTTTATTAAACAACATTTTTTAAATTTGCATAATACAGTAATTTTTTCTCATCTAATTTACACACACACAGACATATAAATATACATATTTTAGCTTTCTTTTTTAAATCAATAATCTTGACAATCTTAGTCTTGATATTATCTTAATAACTAATTAAAAATCTTGTCTTGATCTTATCTCGAATTTCGAGACAAGACAAGACAATATCAAGACTAGGATTGATATCTCGTGCAATCCGAAAAAGAAGAGAGATAAAGAAGGAATGCTAATGCCAAGAAATGCAGAAAAGCGAAAAAGAAGGATGTTGACGCTTGAAAAAATATAATCTCCGCTCGCGATTATTTTAATATTACGAAAATATCTCTCTACGCAGTTGTTCGATAGTGCTAGTGATGAGTGTCATTGTGTCACGCGGTTACACGAACAGCGCGGAATGTACTCCGCGTACACGCATTCTCCTGACTGTCAAGCGCCTTTCGCGTACGCGGAGAGCTTTTTAGCGAACTGTCAAACTCCGCCGAACCGCGAATTACTCATTCCAGCTACTCCAATATACTCTCGCAAATCAAAGACCCCGGGATTTCACGAGCGAGGACTCGAAACATCGATCTCCTGGAGCCGCGACACACCGAGAGATCGTCGATAGACTGAGCGACCGATCCAACGGATTCGCGTTTAATCGTTGGCAATGCTGAATACAATCCACGCTTTAACAAATTCCGCGAAAATATTTCTATTATTATCTATGACGCTGCAATCCGCGTATTTCCATTCATTCCGCAAATATGATATAAAAATGAAATAAAATTTTTTGAAATTTAAATAATTTTTTATAAATCAAGTATTTTGTTCGTGGATGATCGAAAATATTTTAATAATATTATACCAATGTCAAAATAAAAAATATTATTATTTTGATGATAGAATGTTTTCGAAGAATACAATTTTTATACTATGCCTGGGAAAATTCTAAAAGAATTAGGACACGATGTTCGGAGATAAAATTTTTCAAAGCATTTAATTTCTATTTATTTTAATATTACATTGTAAGATCGGTTTTTTTTACTCTAAATAATTACTTTTATTCAATTCTCCCTTCGCCGAATGCAAGGTGCATCGAGTCATTCGACCGGAACGGAATTTGGCGACAGCTGAGATAAAGGAAGTAAGATAGCAACCACATCGGTATCTTGTCCCGTCGTTACATCAACGTAACACAATGCAAATGTTAGTATAAACTCCTCGTCGCATAATTGTATATGTAATTATATATGTAACTTATTTGTTAGCGCAATGCATTCTATTTATAGCAAAATAGATACATATGCGGTCTCGTTGGAAGTTTCCAAGTTCCTTCGGTTGCCATAATTTACACTGCAGCTTATTAGTTGGCAGTTGATATACCCCAAAGTTACATAATTATATAATGCCCGTTTCAGAAAGATATCTTGCTTTTACAATTAAAATAATTATATACTTTAAAATATATTTTCTTTTTTTTCTATAAAAAACTATGAAAAAATTTATTTTATACACTTTTCATTCAACTTATTTTTCAAAATATAAATGATATAAAGATAATAAATCACTGATAATTGCAAATTTAATGCAAATTCTACTATTTCTCTTCTTTTCTTATCTCACTGAAAAAAAAATTAATAATGAAAATAAAATTGTTCGTTTTGCATTTATCAAAATTTATATGTGCATTTTGTATTTATATGAATGTATAAAATGTAAAATATTTAAATGGTGTATACATATTTTTGAATAAATTTTGGATATTCTAGGAAATGTTTGAATCTTAACAAGATAACAATTTAATGTCTTTTCGTATTATCCACGAGAGATACAATTTTGATCATCCCTTGAAAAGAGCGACAATCATGGAGAGCAAACCTGGTGACGCGTTGAACATCAGTCGATGGTATAGAACTCGACAATCTACGCGCGATCAATACGAAACTTCAGAAGGAAGTACCACCATCTCTTCCTAATATCCAGAAGCTCGTCATGGAAATAATATCCCGCAGTGCTTTATTGTACTCCCCCAATTTGTTTGATCGATAATAAAACTGGATACCTTCAGTAGCCCATGTCGATGATCACGGGATGCCACCGGAAAATGCGGCTTAATTAAATATAAAAATTTTATTAGTGCAAATAACCTCATCGATCTATTACAGAGGCGTGAAAAATACCATAAAATTCTACGGGATGTCTCATCCATCAAGACCGAAGCAGTCTAGACATGGCTACACAATGCATAAGCTACGTGTTGTAGATGGAATAAAGTACGTTAATTAAATATACAAATAATACATAAATACACATGAAATTAGTATTAAAACTCATATACGTTTTAGCTATAAATATAATTTTCAAGCATTAGATAAACTTATTCGTTAATTATATTACTTATTAATTCAGTGCTTTAGTACTTGACAAAGAAGAACCGTAAGATAATTAATGATTAAATCTATAAGTATTAAGTACTTTGTGTTAAATTATTATTACATAATTTTTTGTCTCATAGATAATGTATAACCTTGCTACAGATGGGACTGTCATTTTCCTAAGAAAAGAACGTACTGGAAGAAGTTTTGCGACGATGAAGAAAAAAGGTTGATTAGAGTAAGAGATTCATTTCCAAAATCGTCCTATCTTCCTATCATTTCTACCTTGCACGATTCAGAAACAGATCTTTGCGATATCGCAGATTTTAACGCTCCTCGCACTTCCAAAGGCTTCGATGAGAACGTACCTCTCGTAGCTCAGAGATCCTCTAAAGCAGCAGATACCTTCCCCAAAAAAGACGATGAGAATACTCGTCCTAACATAGAACCGATAGTTAAAATTTCCCCTCCCACGCCATTAAAAAAGATATCCAAAAGCAATGCAGTTACGATCGCCAAGATAGACGCGGAGGAACAACACGTTATTGTTGAAAATAAATGTACGATAAAAAAAGTAGATTCGTGCAAAGAATCAGAGTCCCTAGATGTGCCTTTCAAAAATTCTATTATGCCATATGACGGATCAGAGGACGGAAAAGTGTATTCAAGAAAAATGTGTCCCTTTCACAAACACGAACCTGCCATAAAAATTTTCGACGACGATATCGAGAAGTATTTGAGAGACGATCCGAGAACTAGCGTATCATCGAATCAGAAATTGATTAAATTACCGCTACTGCAGAGTACTTCTAATAAATACGACAAAATTAAAAGCAAAATATTTCCTGCCAAAAACCAAAAGATTAAAGAGATTACTTCGCCACGAAAGAAATTGGAGTATTATCCGGATAATGTTATTGATTTAACCGCAAATGAAATTGCAAAGATAGAACTTAAAGAGGATAATATACTGGATAAACAACGTAATCTTAGATCTGATTCTCTTGCATCAGATTTTAAATTTTCTCTTAGCAAAAAATCAAGAAAAGAGGAAAGGAACGCAAAAGATATAAAAACTGCGTCATCGTTTTCAAAATCGTTTCAGCCTCAAAACAAAATTAAGACATCATCTGATAAATTAATAACAAAATGTCCAAAATTACAGAAATATTCAAACATTCCTAAAATTCGAGAAAGTTTTATCGATGAATCAAAATGACAGGATACAATACCTAATATTCAAACGCAATCTATGAGGACGGTCGATAGGAAAACGCGGGAATTCTTAAATTATTCAAAACAATGCGCGTACAAAGCTCTGAAGCACACGAGGCTGGGCAAGAATTTAAATTTCAAGCCCGAAATGTGGGAAGAAACGTCGGGGAGATCGCGCGCCTCCAGCGACAGATCGATAGTAGATACAGACGACAAGTCGGACGTGGACGAGAGGGAAAGTCCCGAATCCGGGACTCGTAGCCCGAAGTCCCCTTTCTTCCGCGAAATGCAGAGGAGATTGAGAAAAACATGGGCTCCGAATATCGGGAGGCAAAGCACTCAGTATAAGCTCTTCAGATCGAGCTCCGGTAGATGCTCGATGATACCCGCGAAATCGTTGGCGAGGTCCGCCTTCAGTGCAAAGTTCGCCAGATACGAAATCAGGGAAAGCCGTTCGGCGAGCGTTTTAAATGCTATTCCAAAGGTGTCGTGCTTTCAACGCAGGAACCGCGACAGATGCTTATCCTGCATGCATAAATCCGTGTGGAGGACGGACGAAGCCGACAAAGCTGTCCCCTCGCAAACGACATTGCTGACGGAAATTGAGGCGAGAGGCGACAGCGAGTCCAGCTCCGGCGAACTTCCGGAATTTTGCGAGGAATTACGGAAGATATATCGTGGAAAGAAAGAAATTCCGAGATATCCGGAAAGAAGTGAGGCTGTATCGGACAAATCAACATCTTCGTCTCATCAAGCGGAACAAGAAGATACCGCGATTTCGACCCCAAAGATCGAGTCCAATCAATCTAAGAATAAAACGGCGAAGCCCGTCGAAAGCACGCTGTCCAAAAGTCCAAAGAGCTTGAAAGCCGCTTCCATTTCGGTCTCGATATCGTCGGAACCGTCGAAGATTTCGTCCTCGGAAGTGCACACTTCTGACGACGAGACGTCATCGCCATTGGCACTGGATGATCCGTCGCGATACAAAAACATGGCGCCCTGTCATTTGCCTACAGTTTTATTACCAAGCATGGAACCTCTGCGAGCCTTGAAAGACAGAAGACCGATCACCATGGAATCACGAATCGCTCTTATGGAGACTACGGTAACAACGAAGGTGAGATCTGACGAGGAATATTATGACGACGCAAAAACTGCGGTCGCAAAAGCATCGACGGAAAAATCGCAGCCAAAACCGGCCGGCGAAAAGCCTGAGAGACCCGGCGAGGAGAAGGATATACCCTTAAAGAGCTCGAGAACCCTTTTGAAAGTTAAGTCGGAGCAGCAACTGATATCGCCGATCGTAAAATCTTCGCCAAAGGACGGGCTAAAGAGGGGATACAGTTGCGCGAGCATCGAGGATTTATCGAAGGATTCTGCGAGAGGTACGCTCGAGATTTCTCGAGGCGAGGCGAAAGATGGGCGAGGAGAAGTAATCTCTTTCACGGAAGAGATAGATTTGGAGTCGGTCTTCTCCGACCCGGAGAGGCAGACGGAATTACTACCGCTGTCAACGGTCGCCGAAATTTCGCGATTTCTCGAGAGAGCGAATCGGGGGGACGCGTTGGCCGCGGACATGCTGGAATGTCTGGCGGACGAATTCGCCTCGCGACTGATAAGACAACACAAGCACGCCGACGCGATAGCGACGATGAGGCGCGCTAAATTAACCGCGAGATTAGCAAAACTGCTGGCGGACTCGAAACGTTATCTGAACCCCGATAAATTCCCGTCTGACCTTATTTTCTCCTCACCACAGCCTCCCGCTTGCAATTCCCGTTTGCTAAGACGTGTCCTGCCGCTCGATTCCTACAATCTCGTCGCGCCATTATTGGGCATGCCGCTTTGGTATCCAAAGAGAATAAAAAGAGTGAAGCCCGCGGTGCCTTCCGAAGAAGAAGAAGAAGAAGAACGAGAAGAAGAAGAAGAAGACGAAGAAGAAGGGGCGATTCCCTTCGACTTGGTGGTACGTACGTCGAGATATTCTACAACTATCGGTTATTCTAGCGGTGTTTGTAGCATATTTAGAATCAATTTTCCATTAATAAAAATGTTATATAAATTTTTTTTTAAATTAAAAATTAAAAATGTTTAGTATCGTTATAATTATATTTTGTTATAATAATATTTAGTATCGTTATAATTATATTTCGTTATAATTATATTTAGTATCGTTAAATTGGTTAAAGATAAAGAAAAATGCAATATTTTATTTAATATTCTGAATTCTCGGAGACACAATTCGCTTTGTCAAGAGTTACCAATGGAAAGTAAGCTTTTATACGCACGCAGGTGCATCCCCCGACGAGCAAAGATATTTCGATGAAAGGAGACGAGGATAAAGTAGGTCGGGCGCGATCAAATCCTTACGCTCTCTTTTTGAGGAAACCGCGACGCAAGGTACGACGAGAGACGAAATAATATTATCGATCTCGCATCATGCTCTCTAAAACCATTGTCTTCTAATTTCGCAATCCACGATCCGCAGGTTGTCACTTGGCGTCCTTTAACAGCGGATGATCTCAAAGACTACGATCCCGAAGCCACCCTCGGGATGAAAGCCAGAAATATCACGAACAGGATATGCCGCGACTTCTGCGGATGGCTACGCGATTTAGGCGGCACCAACAAAGTCATCGACGAGGAGGTCCTCGGAGATATGTTCGAAATTGACTTTACAGCCGAGGCCAGTAGAACGATGGAGGTAGATAGGAACAAAGTGCAGAGCGGATTGCTATACGTCGTAATGCGATGCATGACACATGACGTATACGCGAGATTTGAATTATAACTTTAGCGCGATATTAAGTGACCGACCCGATTGCGTTCGCATCGAGCCTCTAGCAGAGAAAGTGATCTTCCTTCCACAAACGAATATCGAGACTATATATTTAATTAATTAATGATATAAAAATTTGATTTTATATTTTAAGCATATTTCGCGTAATCAATCATCTCATTAATGCATCTAGCGTCGTTTTTTATGTTATATTTAGACATTTTTTCTTTAAGGAAGCATACCCGTTTGAAACCTTGAAAAATGAGTACATTTTCTAGTTTTTTTTTTTTGCAGAGCAACGATTTGATAACAATTTTTAATTTTTTTTTTTCGATATTAATATAATATTATTAACTAGTTAAATAAAAATTTTCAGCTTAAAAGAAAATTTCTTTTTAAAGTTATGGGAATATTTGTAGAGTTCCTCCAAATTTTAGGTGGTTATACGGTGTGCAAGAAAACATTCGTAAATCATATCCGAAATAAAAAATACAAGTTTTTTTATTAAACATATCAATAACTATCTGCTATCCAAGGGTTTTTTCAAAATTTTAAAAAATAAAAAAATGGCGGCGTGTTGAAGAAAGCTTCGTTTTTTTTTTAAAAGTCCATTTTTTTGTTTATAAGAAAATGGGGAATCGGATTTAAAAAAGGCTTCGTTAGCAGATGCGGAATCTTATTAGGAATTCACATGCAAAATTTGAAGTCAATCCGTCATACGTAGCCCGAGTTTTCATACACACCGTATATGAAAACATAAATCTGCAAATATTCGCATAACATTCAAAAAAAAATTTTTTTTAAGCTGAAAATTTTTATTTGGTTACCTAATAATATTGTACTAATATCGTAAAAAAAAAGTTTTTATCAAATCGTTGCGCTGCAAAAAATCTTGAAAATGTACTCATTTTTCGAAGGTTCAAACGGGGTATATTCCTTTAAATATGTCAGAGTTATTAATAGAAAGCTTTTTCATATCGTCATTACGTCACGAAATGATGAAGACACCGAATTTCTTCCCATGACATGTTTCATTATATTAATCGCGCGTCTCTGTTTGAGACAGATGTCGATGATGGAAATGCCGATGGTACCCAACGGGGTAGCCGCAGCGAGACAATGTCCTGATGCGGGCGAGCTTGCCATGACCAGGAAGCACCTGATTAGAGATGCTAAAGCTGAGAGTAAGCCGGCCAAAACAATGGCGTTTGGCACCGCGATACCCTGGAAGCTTCAATTCGTACCGCCCGGAAATCGGGTGAGAGAAAGATGGCTGCGGTGCGAAAACGTGATGCCGGATCTCGAGACGATGGATGTGGTCTGGGACGGCATAACGTATCTCGAGAGCGTCAAAGCTTTCGCGAAATGGTTCGGCGAGCATTCCAACGTAAGTTCGCTTCGCTAAATGATGATTTTTTTTTTTTTTAATTTTAACCTTATGTTTCAGATTTCGCTGCCGAAGGCACTAACAAACGCGACCACCGATCCCGCGAAACGCGCCGTTAAATTATACGCGACCAGAAAAGGACGCCAAACTAATCGGTAGTTTTGAAGCTCGCAGCACGATATGACAAGTGAGCGATCTGCAGGGAAATAATTCTTATTTTATAATAAAATGATATATAAATTATCACAAAATTATATTATTAAAAATTATGATTTATTTCCCTTCAGATCGCTCATTTGTCACACCGGACGCCCGTCAAAACTCGATGGTGTAATCGACGAGGAAGATGAGCGCGCGCGAAAAAAAATCGCACGATGCTTTAAGTTGGTTCCGTCATCGCGCCCTGTATATCGGCGCCAAATACGTTCGTGTAACCGATACGACCACATGATGACACGACGCAGAACGCCCATTTCCTGTATGCGGCGAACGGTTAACCTCCGTAGACCGCCGTGGACGCTTCAATCGCAAACAATTCCCGACGAAATTTCGACAAACGTTCAATTACGGAACCTAATTTTCGGCTAATGATCGTCGTGCTTCGCCCCGATCTCCGCGAGAGAGACGCAACGTAAATAGAAATCGAGTCACGCTTTTTTCGCCCGTCGGATTTCACTCGTGATTCCCGAATCAGAATATATGGATCGGTTAAAAGGCGCGAACAACGATTGTGCCTTGATCATCATTCCTGATTTCGTGTGTAGATTGGATTAACAGTCCGATTTCACGGCGCGAATTAATTCATTGGCAACGCAGCGCACCGACTAATGCCTCGCATTTCGCTGCACCAATTATCGATCACTCAAGTTTCATTGCATCGAACTTCATTAAACACGCGCGTGTGCAATAACAATTGCAATATTAATAATGACATCCATTCATCAATAATAGCAATCTGTTATCAATATATAAGATAAATAATCTCCACAAATGTATTTTTTCGATGATGAAAAGAGCATTCTTTTTAATACATCTTTCAAATCTGTCAATTTTAATTAACGGAATGAGTAACATCGTAAATATAAGCAACGATAAAAAAAAGCAATAATCTTTAAAAAAAAAAAATAGATAAATAAATGAAATAAAATAAAATAAAATAAAATTTTTCCGACGACGCGGAACAAAAAGCAGGTGGATGAAACTTAAAGCCGACGATTTCGCATCGACGAGTTGTCTAGCGAAATAACGTAAACGAGCCACGATGAAATATTGGAAACGTATCACAGACGCCGGATGTCCTGACAGTGTCTGCTTACGACAGAAAACGGTGCCTTAGACCCGTAAGCTGGTAACGGCGGCAGCGAGAAAGAAAAAAAAAAAGAAAAGATTGGAGCTCGCCTCGTTTGTGCAATATATCCTCCTCGTATATTTTCCCGCTATAATTTTTCTCTCGTCTCTCTCTCTCTTTCTCTCTCGCGCGCGCGCGCGGGATAACGCCATTCAAAATTATATCGCGTCAACGAACGGAGGGTCATTATATCGCGACGAGACGTCGTATTAATGGCTAAAATCGCCGGTCTCGCTTCGATAATATGGGTCGAGGCAATACGAGACGGGAACAATAAAAAAAAAAAAAAAAAAATTCGAATTCAAAAGAGCGATACGCGGGCCGGGATGAGTTTGCCGCTTCAAATCCGGCTTCTCTCTTTATCTCTCTCCCTCCTGTTTGTTCGCTTTTAATATTTGCCAAACTTTTCTCCTGCATGCCAGCACACGTAAAAACATAAAGCATCATTCTCGTTTATCGTTGAGCGCTTCGTTGAAATATTTGGATACTTGGCGACATTTAGACGGCACGTCAAAAAAAAAAAAAAAAAAAAATGCGATTAACCCATTTCCCACAGATATTTCATTTTTCAAAGATTTCATCGATTTATTTTCTCAAACGGGATGTTTAAGTACGATCCTTGCATTACCGGCGTAATCTTTATCGCATATTAGCGATTATAAAAATTCAAAATTGTCAAGTGAACGATGCAAAAATTGAGAAGAGGTAATTAAATAAAAGAGATAATTAAATAAAAAAATTCTCTCAAAATTTATCTCATTCAAAATGCTAATATATTAAATTATATTAACATATTTATATATTAATACATACTGATATAATTAAAATATATATTATTTCAAAGGGGCGGGGGGAGGGGAGGGGGAGAGGGGGCTTCTAAAAAGGAGACGGAAAGGGAATCTCGGAAGCGTACCGAGTACGACCCGGCGGACAACTGGACGAGGGGGGCGAGGGGGAGGGGGAGAGAAAACGAAGGGGGAGTTTAGAGTCATCATTGGCCATTGGCCATCCGTTTCGCTCCACTTGGGACGGAAGGATCCCGTTCGACCGAGAAATTTAACAAGGCGCACGCTCCCGACTGACAATAGACAACTTTCCTGATCCCCGCGCGCGTACCCGGGTTTTAATTACTTCAATTTGAGTCCGGGCTTGCCCCGCGATTCGCGACGAGAATTCGACCGATAGCCGATTCTGAACCTAACGATTTTTATACGGACCGTCAGCCCCTCTCTCTCCCCTCCCCCTCCCCCGCCCTTCCCCCGAAAATAGAATATGCGATGGATGGTGTCAGATAAAAAAAGAGTGAAGTTAACTCGCCGGACTTGCTGGTTTCGAATCAGGAATTTCATCAGCCGATTTTATATCATATATTTTATATCATTCGCTCGATCAAAAATATATCGATTGCAAAAACCTGGTTACTGTCACTTCTGTCGGATTCAATCGCTACCGCGTGTCGAGACGTCTCCGAATTTTAATATCTTATCGCGAGAGCTAAACTAGCATCGAGATGTCGACTAATGTCATGCGACGCAAGAGCGAGAGGGATAAGAACATCGATCATATGATTTTTCCTCAGCTGTTCCCGGCGTGCGAGATTACGTCACGCGATGAATTCGCGTGACGTCACGTTGTTACGATACATCGCAGCTCGCTATAATGTACGTACGCGATTTACTCTCGATGGCTTGTGCAACCATTGGACGCGCAACTCCTTTATCACATAATACACCATGAAATAAGACGCGGTCGCTTCGCTCGTTCGTTCGTTCGTTCGGTACAAGAAACAACAAATCTGGAAAAGATATAATTAATTCGAAAGAGGAAACAGATTAACGCATTTTTTTCGATAATAATTGTAACTGTCCAGTCACCAGATACTAACGAGAATGCTGCTGAAAAATCTCGAACTTGGAAGAACTTACAACCCTCATTGTTTTCTTCTTTTTTTTTTTTTTTTCTTTTCTTTTTTTTTACCCCCTTCCGAGAGATCTGCCGGTGAGTCACGAACTTTACGAGAAGAAGGAAAACGAGGGAAACGAGGGAAGTTCGTTCGTTCGTTCGTTCGGTGATTATCGTTATCGTTATCGTGATGCACTCTTGAAAAAAAAAAAAAACTCATCGGAAGCGACACTTGACTTTTCGATCATCTTATTCAGTCTCGTCGCACAACTGCCGATACCGAGAGAATCCTAAGTATGCGAGCAATCGAATAGATCGCCATGGCTCTTTTCTCTTTATCCCTTATAAAATCCTTTATAAAAATACGGGATTTTTTTCTTTAGATATTATTCAGGTAATATTCTCCGAAATAGAAATCTGCGGCGTACAAGATTTTTCACCCACAGAACTGCTCGAAATTAATAAACAGGTGTCTGCCATTGCACAAATACAGTCAATGTAAGAAGGTGTGGCGGGTCTGCGATATTTTGTACACACGTCAGAGATACGGAGCTACCGGGCGATTCGCTTCGTTACCTGCGAGCGATATACGACAGAGAGCAAAATACACACGGTTGCACACACACACACACACACATACACCCATTCACAAGTCAGACGAGAAACGCTTCCTGCCGACTGTTCAAGCTCGTTCGATCTATTGTCATAAAGTTCCGCGATGGTGTGCGTTGTCAGCGCGACGCCTACGTAAACGTATAAGTACGGTAATAATAATGTGAATGAATAAACGCTAATCCATGAAAGCTATCAGATCAAAAGCGCAGTATTCATATTTTTTGCGACACGTTATTTTTTTCCGACTATTTTGTATATTTCTAATTAAAACTTTAAATTTGCTTTTCATATTCTTGTTTGTCCAGGAATTCTGCGCGCAACACGCATTGGATAAAATCCAATCGAATTTTCGAGGCATCTAGGCCAATGGGCGTAGGCGGGATTGCGATTTTTTCCGTATATTATCCAATAGAATTGTCAAGATGTGTAACAGAGGATCCCGTGTGTAAAGCGCAGATTAAATAAAAAGTAAAAGAGATTTATACGAAGCAAAGTAAGCAACTACGTAAACAAATAACCGGAGACAAATAAATTTACAAACTTTTCAACTTCTGGATTGTTAAATAAAAAAAAAAACAACATTTTATGCATACAAGGTGTTTCAGAATGAGAGTAAAAAATTTTGACATATTGTTTGGGAGATTATTCTGAAGAAATGTTATATGAACATAGGTCTTATCTTTAATATTTAATCGGTAAAAAATGTGCTCAGGGAGCACATTTTGAGCATTTATTATAAAATTAAACTGTAAATAAATGATGTTTAAATCTTCTCCTGTTTTATTTTGATTTCTCAAGATTACTTCCTACGAATCATGTGATTTTACTGATAGCAGTAAAATTTTAAAACTTTTGTAACTACGTAAATATTAAAAATAGGACCTATGTTCATATTACTTTTTTTACTCAGAGTGATCTCCCAAACAATTTGTCCAAGTTTTTTATACTCGTTCTGAATCACCCTATATATACATATATGATATTCACGACAATATACTTCTTTACTTGCTTGACTCTCATTTATATTAATTTCAAAGTAAATACTTAATTTTTTTAATATCTGCTATTGATTTTTAATAAATGATTGTTACATCATTGTTATCTAATAGATTATTGGATTTACCGAATAATTTTGTCGTACACTGTTGAAAAATTTGTGTTTTCTTGTTAAAAAAATGCCGGTTAAATAGTTTGCGTTAAATATTTAACATACTCATATGTTAATTTAACATTTAGCTGTTGTGTTAATTGAACTCAAATGTTAAATTATTAAAACAACTGAAGAAAGTATAAA